AAACCTGAACCGTCATGCTCACGCCCCGCCGACGACAGGTAAGTGCTGATTCAGTTTTTCAGTTATAAACATATTACTTTGTCTATGCTCAGAATTAAGGATGAGGACTTTGGTTAAGATGCTCGAATAAAGTTCAGACTTTAGAGTTCGGACATGACTTAAGAATTCAGGCATTCAGATATGACTCTAGACGTTAGGATCTTCCTATATGACTCTAGAGTTCTTCAGGTTTCACGTCAGTATTTATCGGCCATTTTTGGCAACTCGTCAAGAGATCTGTGTGCCTAAATAATCAGTCAGTAATGTTATCATGTATTCAGTAATGTTAATTTTTCTCAATGTTCAGATGCCGCCACGTAGGGAACCCGATCAGCAGGCTCCTACTCAGGTTACGGTAGTCGCTCAGTTCCGCGACTATCACGCCGAAAATTTCTCAGGGCAGGGAGACCCCCGCATCGTTGATGAATGGATTTAGGGGTTGGAGTTCATCTTTGAGGTCATGGAATGCCCCGATAGGTATCGCTTAGTTTGCGCTCAGCTTCAGCTCACTGGTGATGCAAGGCTCTGGTGGAATGCCTACTGGAGCATGCGTCCCGGTGAAAAGGCGGGTTGTACATGGGACATGTTCAAGAATCTAGTCCGTGACAAGTACTACCCTTCCTACTATCGGGCAGAGATGGAGCGCCAGTTCTTAGCGCTTCAGCAGGGCACCCGTACTGTCGATGAGTACGAGCGAGAGTTCACTAGACTTGCAGGTTTTGCACCGAATTTCGTTCGCACGGAGGCCCAGAGAGCGCAGCGGTTCATTGACGGACTTTACCCAGCAGTCCGTCATAACATCGTGGGACACGAGACTCAGATGTACGCTCGTGCCGTTTCTATCGCCCAGGAGGTGGACGCTAGTATCAGGAGGGAGGCATTTCGCGACCGTGCCCAGTCATCCGCTCCAGCTCAGCCATTTGCAGCTCCACCAGCTCTACCAGCTCCTCAGCCAGCAAAGGAGAAGAAGAGGAAGGCAAAGGGTGCACAGATTGACCGGAGAACCCGACAGAGACAGCAGCCGATTCTACCGTGCCTGACTTGTGGTCGACTTCATAGGGGAGAGTATCGTGCTGGACAGGACATCTGTTACTATTGCCAGGAGCCGGGACATTTTGCGAGTCGTTGCCCGAAGAAACTTCAGCAGCAGCCTCAGCAGCCACCACAGCAACAGCAGCCACGACAGTAGGCACAGAGGCCGCCTCAGCAGCAGCAGCAGCAGAGGGGCAGGCAGCAGGCCAGGGTTTATGCGGTCGATCAGGCGGAGGCAGCTCAGTAGCCAGGTACCATGTCCGGGATGATTGTTCTCAATGATATTCCTGTGTTTGCGTTATTCGATACTGGAGCAACGCATACTTTCATCTCACGCCGATGTCTCGATGCCATCGGAGTTCACGCGGTTACCGCTGTCGATCCTCTCGAGGTGAGTTTAGCCTCGGGACGAAAGATAGTGACCTCAGCTAAAGCCTCAGATCTTAGCCTTTCCATCAGTGGCCGAGTATTGACTGCCGACGCGTTCGTTCTCAAAATGAGAGACTTCGATCTTATTCTCGGGATGGATTGGCTATCCTTTTATCATGCAGACATTAGATGTCATGACCGGGAGATTACTCTCTATCTTCCGGGAGACGAGTCGATTACTTTCTTCGGCTCCAAGAACCGTTCACTGCCTCAGGTTGTTTCGATGGCAAAAGCCACTAAGTTATTACGACGAGGCAACTACCAGGGTTACCTGGTGAGCCTTGTTGAGGATTCTCAGAAAGCGCGGACACCGCATGATGTTCCAATCGTTCGTGAGTTCGTGGACATATTCCCAGACGAGCTTCCAGGAGGACCGCCCAACCGCCAGGTGGAGTTTTCCATCGATCTTATTCCAGGGACCGGTCCAGTATCTAAAGCCCCATACCGCATGGCGCCTAAAGAGTTGCAGGAGCTTAAGACTCAGATTCAGGAGCTGTTACGACTCGGTTTCATCCGACCGAGTGTGTCACCGTGGGGAGCACCCGTTCTCTTTGTTAAGAAGAAGGACGGATCTATGCGCATGTGTATCGACTACCAGGATCTTAACCGGTTGACGATCAAGAATAAGTACCCGCTTCCCAGGATCGACGAATTATTTGATCAGCTGAGGGGAGTCTGTGTATTCTCGAAGATTGACTTACGATCAGGCTACCATCAGCTGAAGATTAAAGAGTCAGATATCGCTAAGACCGCTTTCAGGACTCGTTACGGCCATTACGAGTTTGTTGTCATGCCTTTCGGTCTCAGCAATGCGCCAGCAGTCTTTATGGATCTCATGAACCGTATCTTTCATCCGTACCTCGATCAGTTTGTTATTGTCTTTATTGATGATATCCTTATCTACTCGAAGAACCAGAAGGAGCACGAAGAGCATCTGAGGGTGGTTCTCGAAACCCTCAGACGAGAGAAGTTGTACGCCAAATTCTCCAAATGCGAGTTCTGGCTTCAGCGAGTATCTTTTCTGGGTCATGTGATTAC